AAATAAAAAAAAAAAAAAAAAAAAAAACCCTTAATAATGATAAAAATAAAATACATAGGAAGAAGAATGATTTGGGTAAACTTGGATTAGATTCTAAAGCCTGCTTAGTATTGTGTGGCAACACAAGATTAAAATTAATGTTTTTTTCGTTAGATCATGAATCCAACTATTAATTAAATATGTTATATTGTTAGACTGTGAATCGGAATTATGTATGTATAACCGGATTTATAAATGTAGAGTTAATTAAAACTTAGGAAACACAAACAAGAATCATGGATCTCTCTTATTATTCGACTAGTCATCATGAAAATGCAACAAAAGAAGAGCTATTAAGTAGATCCAACAAATGTGTCCAAACACCCTGCACCCTGCACCCTCCTCTCATAAATCACAATGGAGCTACCAAAAACCATCAACAAAACCAACCCAAACCCAAAAGAAAATTTAAAAAAGAAAAGAAGAAGGGTAACAATAAATTTTAGGAAAACAAAGAATACACAGATATACTAATTAATCTAAATCTACATAAATTAATTTCAAAGGACAGCCTGTGTTCTAAGCAAGGACTAGCGCAACTCCACCCAAGAATGCCACCAAGGCCATGCTAATCCCATGAACAAAAGCACCTGAGTCTGGACTGGATGCGACTGGGGCTGGTGTCTGTGCAATGGAGGATCCTGGAGGTGAGCCGGGTCCCGGTACAGCTGGTGCAGGTGGTGTGTTACTTTCTGGGCCTGGACTTACTGGGCCTGGGCTTACTGGGCCTGGGCTTGTTGGGCTTGGGCTGGTTGGGCCTGGGCTTGTTGGGCTACTTGGTTCCATAGGTGGGGTGGCAGCAGTTGGTGGTGTAGCCACCGTGGACGGGGGCGTTGCGGTGGTTGGTGGGGTGGCTGAGGTGGTGGGAGGAGTAGCTCCAACGGTACTAGGCGGCGGCGATGCGGTGGTTGATGGAGGTGGTGCCGCCATATATGTCGGTGGAGAGGCAGTGGTCATCGGTGGGGCGGCGGTCGGCGGCGGCTTTGGCTTGGAGGGGGTAAAATATTTTGGTGCCGAGGCTGGGCCTTGAGCCATGGATAATGCTACAAGAGCTAGTAACATTGTGAGGGTGAGCATGGCACGTGTGAGAGCCATGGCTCTGTGAAACTGGAGTGCCACAGAAACGGAAAATAAGGTTGGATAGAGCAAGAGCTGAGACACAGTGAGTGAGTGAGAGAGAGAGAGAGAGAGAGAGAGAGAGAGTGAGAATTATGTGAGGAATAGGGGTTGGAGAGGTGAGGTTGATATATAGACTCTGTAGAGTAAAGGAGTACAGAATCTTTATTGTGGCAAACATTTGAGTGCTTGGAATTTCATAGCACAAGGGCAGCTGGTTGACACCTATGCATTGAGAATGACCTTTTTTGGTTTTGTCAATATTGTACAAATTATTTTGATAACACTAGTATACAAAATAAGAGATGACGAGAGTCGAATTCTAATAGTAAATATAGAGATATCAATGAGATTATAACTATAATCGTAAATGTAGCGATATTTTATTAAAAATATCAATTCTTTTTCAGACATGATATTCGTTCATTATTAAAGGATGGACTGTCTTTATGATAGCGAGACTATATCGATACAAAATTTGCACAGCAAAAGAATGGACCTATGTGTTCATTATCAACATATAGGTGTATGACTTTGGCATGCATCATTTACCCAACAAGAAAATATTTTATTTTCCCACAGACATTAACTTAAAAGCATGAAACTGCCATGAACCAACCCGTCCCAAAAGCAATTTCCCATCACAGAATAAAGAGAGACAGAGAGGAAGCTGCGCAAAATTGTGGTGGACATTGATTGATTGTATAATTTTTCTTTTTCTTTTTCTTTTTAATGTGTCCACTCACTTGTTGTTGGGGACTCTGTAAATTATAAAAGTCATTTGGGGACTTCGTCTTGCGCATTGTGTTATGGGCACACACTACAGAGACTTTCTGGGTAACTTTGTCCCACCAAACTTGCACGGGAATCACAGTGACAAAAGCAGCCACCAACATACAATAATTTGAGGAACCCTACATTTTGGTATAACTCACATCAATGAGCTTGCAAGTATTCATTCAGGCATATAATAAATCATTAATTGCTTCATTAGTTTTCTTTTTCTGTTCTGATATGTAGTCTTGAAGTAGATATTATGCAGAAGGGGCGTAACCATGAATTTTTCTACGGGAATCGTTATTCTTTTACTTACAGTTTTTATAATCTTTTTAGAAATAAAAGTATACATTAAATTATATAAATAAAATATAATAAATGCAACCAAAAAATATATTATCAAAATAAAAATATTTTCAACTAGAATTGAAAGTGTACCTATTTTTATTGTTGCCCTACAACTAAATTTATAAAGAATTGGACTTTTTTGAACCTTAATAAGTTAATACATGCTAAGTTATATATAAAACAAGTCAAAATATAAGTTTTATTTTTTTCCCCAAAAACCTCTAATGGGTTGTAGCCCATAGTGTTTTGCCAGTGATTATGTTGTCAGATTATGAATTAATTAAGATCGTCGATTCATATAAACATGTATTAGGTTTTACGATTTCATGACGGAAGTATGTGACAAGATAGCATTACTCAACATTTCATTATATAGAGTCCCCTTCTATTGAGGGACACCATTTAGGGTACCTTACGAATTATTTTTGACAATGCAAACCATCTATTTTTCAAGTCTTCATTCATAAGTCATCTTTGCAAAAAATCAGAAAAATTGAAAATTGCCAAGGTATCTAATTGCTACCAACAAAATAGATAAACACGGTGTTTTAAGAAAAGACTAAAACTAACAATAATCTAATTGAGTGATCAAAATTTTTTGGATTCAAGTCATTTTTTGCAAATATGATATTTGAAGGAATATCTAAAAATTTGACTGTTCGGATCATTGAAAAACAACATGTGGTGAGCCCTACAAAGGTATTCCTCAAATAAGTATATTTGTGTATATATAATATTCACATGTTTGTAAAGTTTGCTTTTCAATGATTACCATGGGAGCATAGTCACCTTTACACCCATACCAGTCCACTTGTTCTACCTTTGCTCTAGTTTTGACAATGTTGTGCTAAGAAAGCTGGAGAAGGAGGATGCAAGTACAGTGATATGTGGCCACAATTTTTGCCCCAAGGCCTCAGTCATCAGATTCTAATGGCCATAGACCCTGGGGATGCAATGCAGCTAGCCAGCATGTGTCATGTGTTTGTTTGTGTTGTCAACCGTAGAAAAAATTGAGTGGGGACTTTCTTGCGATGTGCCAATGCGCCATAGTTACTGTTCAGTTAACATAAAATATTTGCCATCTTAGTATATTATGTTTTAACTAGACAATGGTATAAAATTTCCAAATGAAAATTTTCATGTGGAGGTGTTGAGGAAAAATTAAAATTTGTGCTTTGGATTTTGATTTGCATATATGGAAATTCGATGGATATCTAGCCTTAGCTCTTTGCAAGGAGTGAGTGGATAGGAAAAGGAAAGCACTGCAGCCTGCAAAAACAATTCCATGCCTTCATCCTGACATTTTATCTACTTTCTATCAAGAACAATAATCGTCCCGTTTATTCATGTACATGATCAACATGAGCTTGAATCTAGCAATCTTGAAGTAAATTAAAATATATAATATAGTTTTCTCTTTTCTTCTTAATAAGAAGAAAGTGACGACATACTGTGAGAGGCATGTCAACCGGTAATAAGTAGACAATTGCATGACCTCACACAATCTGCATGGCGACATGTCTCCACTTCATCGTAACGTTTTTTTTTGGTAACTTGGATTTGGCACATCCCCACGAAGATGCAAATTTCCTTATTCATGTAAAGTTTTATAAAGATTACTATTTGTGAAAGATGGGATAATGTCTACATAGTTAAGTTTATAAAATAATGATTTTTAAAAACCAATAATTGTATACAATGATGGAGAAAAGGGGAGGATTTGTTTATTTATTTATTTTAATCTCCAACATTCATGATAAGGATTGATGGCTATGTCTGAGATGAAGCTTTCAAAAGGACATGGTTTCTCTATTGCTACAGCCTACGGGCACGGGATATGAGTGAAATACTCTTTAACTATTTGGCATATGAAAGAGCACTAAAATGCTTTACTTGACTAAGACAAGATCCAACACAAAACTTTACACCAAATCAAGTCCTAGCTAGTAGCTACTAGGCCCCACAAATGGCATCTTGTTTTTAGATTTTTATTATGGCACACCCAACTTTCCGACGACGGCCAATATTAATTGTTCAAATTTAGGGGAAAGTTAAAAAATTTCTTCAATAGAAGCTACAAGAGTGTTCTCAAACAGGAACTATTACTGTAGAAAATCGACAATATTGACAGCATCTGCAATATCGACATCATAGACATAATCCCGAGCATCTGCACTTAGAGATTGTATATTTATCTGCATTTCACAGTATCTTCACCATCCTAAGAATTTTTTTGGGGGAACAAAGATATGCATATATCTCTTGTCTTTGGGTTGGAATAAGAACTTTTATGCTGCCCATTATTTTGAGCCAAATGTAGGGTTTGTAGCATTTTTATGAGGTGTCATCAAAATGGTAGGACCACAGATTAGAGAACATATTCATGAATTGAAAGGGGAAGAAGAGGAATATTACTTGCCACAGAAAACGATATGATTAATCGTGATTGAGCTCTGTCTGGTTTTTTATGCCCCCATCTTTAGATTTTTAATAAAGTTTCAGTCTCCTAAACAGAGCTAAGCTTTACTTATGTGATTTTATTGCAGAAGTTCTTTCTTTTTTAAGTTCCATGATTGCTATTAAAGTGTTCGTTTAGTTTCACAGCTTGCACATTAATTCAGTAAACATTAGTTCTCTTTTCTGTTCTCTTCTTTTTGTTTTATTTAGTAAAGTATCAAAAACTCTCAGAGTAAATGTGGGAGGTAAGTTTTCAATTGACTTGACTTATGGGAATTGATCCATGATTGTTAATCCCATTACTATTTGTTTTCATAATCACTCTGAAAGTGTAACACAATTAACAACTTTTTTACAGTCAATTTTCAACAGCAACTTACTTGTTACTTAAACATCAAAAGGAGTCAACGGGGTCTAGCCTAGTGAAAAGAGACACTGACTTGCAGACCAACGGTCTTAGGTTCAAACCCTCATGGCACCTTGGTAGTGTGTGTGAGAAATCCTCCCTCCTTGTAATTTAGACCATCGCTTGTATTCCAACAAAAAAAACATAAAAAAGAACTCAATAGAAGGAGTTAATGAGGTTTGGCAAACAATTACTTCCAAACCTCAATTAATATGTAGAAATGACAATTGAGCTTGGAGAAAATGTTGACTGGTATAAAAAGCAAAGTTTTAACCCTACAAATATAAATGCTTTGAGCTTGACAGAAAACCAAACAGCATCACTGCCGCCAAGTTTGGTTTCTAAAAGCTAAATAAAGGATTGTCACCCAGAAGGGTAAGTTCAAAGAAAATATGGAAAACATTGAATTCTATCTTCAGCATTATCTGTAAACAAAATTCACCCAGATTGGACAGCAATTACCCAAAGTAAGCAAAATCTAAAACTGCTTATTATTTTGCATATATTACAGAAAATGAACACCAAAATGGGTGCTTAAAAAGCTCTACTTCTGAAGCCTTTCAGCTTTGACGTAAACTGATGCTTATGTTTCGTTTTGTAATATGGCCAAAGAAATTTGTTTCTCAAGACCACAAATTATCACCTACAAGTTGTGCTTGAATTTATCAACATAATGAAGCTTGTTTTTCATGATTTCCGGCATATGATGAAGCTTCTTGAGGGCATCCCTTAGTATCATCGTCGATCACTTAGAAGTGGTTGGGATGCAGGAGCTGCAGAAGAAAAGAATACCAGTAGTTCAAAATCAGCATTGTCATCCAAATAGTGAAAATTTTGTTCTGTGAACTGAAAATTATTTATCATTGTAATCCACTACTTGTTGAACACTATCCCCACTGACCAGGATGGTTCTATCATTTAAGAGACTCTTACCGCTAAATACCATTAAAGCTCTAAGGTTACTAGGAGATTATCTATAGTCAAAAAGTTTTTTTTGTAATAATCATGATCTGGTCCATTTCTCAAAATAAGGTTTTTGAAAATAGATAGAATTGGTTACACTGACCATCCAGACATTTGTATCATCAGTGTGGCCGGAGATGAGGTGGGAAGGAAGTTGTTTATAAAGTATTACCTCCGAAACTTTGTCGCCCACCGGATACAGGAACTTGTTTGCAAGTCTTCTCAGCAATTTCAGCCATAACCAAACGTGATAAAAGAAGTGCCGCAATAAGAGCACAAATCATTAACATCACAAATACTGCATCCCATCCCTTTGTTGAAAGGAAACCAGTAAGAAGAGGGCCAAAAGCTGCACCAACTGATCCAGTACCATCAATTATGGCAGTAACTGTTGCCAGTGCTCGAGAATCCCCTCTAAGCGAACTGTGCGTACCAAGGTCTGCAGATACCGCAGTGGTGATAAGTGCATAGGGCCCATTAATAAACAAGCCAGCAACCATCATAAGCACAATGTTGATATTGTGTGAAATACTGCCATATCTGCGATATAAAAGCATTGCTGGAATTGCAGCACACATGAAGCTGGCTGCTGTGGTCGCTCGAGCATTAAGTTTATCAGATATGTAGCCAGCAAGGATTCCACCAACTATGCCCCCTACATCGAACAAAGTGGAGAGGTTTCCAGCAGATTTTACAGAAACATATTCTCCTCCTATTTCTGCAAAAGCAAAAGAGAGAACAAGATGGGAACCTTATATTAGATGCATGAAGATTTTAAATAATACCTCAAAAAACAAGATGTGACTGGTGTTGCCTGGAAGTGATCAATTGCCAATAGCAATGTATGGAAAAGAACAACACTTATGGAGGACAATGACATTCAATTCAAGCAAGTTTCGAACAGACAATTGGACACACAACCGATAGTACTTGCAATGTCTTGAATCTTCTTATTCTAAATTAAATAGTAAAGAAAAAAGCTGAAGCTATCTGGCAATCCAGACAGCATTTCAAAATCTTACAGTTTTAAATCATACCAGTCAATCAAGATTGTCTATAAAATCTATGAGGGATAAATTACCTGTCTGACTTAAGTAAAATGGCAGCCAGTACAGAAACGTGTAGGCCACAAGCTTTGAGAAGAAGAGGCACAGCGCAAAGGGTATAACTCCTGGTATTAGACAAGCTTCAAGAAGCCCAACACTTGTCCTGCTCACAGACCCAGCTCGGTTAATAGTTTGTGTTTCATCTTCCTCTGTAGTTTCTTTTCTTACATTAGCTTCTTCGTCCTTAGGGTTTGCCTCCAAATCAGAAGGTGAACCTTGTGGGAAAGAAAATCCAATGTCCTCAGGATATGGAGCCAAGAAGAAGAAAACCATTACACCTCCCACTGCAATAAAAGCACCTGGAACTATAAAACACCAACCCCACCCATAGTCCAGAACACTAGCAGCAAGAAGTGAGCCACTAATATTCCCAATGGAAGTATGTGCATTCCATATACCCATAATCAAACCCCTCTTCCCTTTTCCAAACCAATTACCAATCACAGCAACAACCGAAGGCCACCCAGTTGCTTGGAATAACCCAGCAACCATTTGCATCCCAAGATAAAAACCAAACACATGAACATTCCAGAAGTATCCCATCCCAAATAGTGCAACAAAAATGCCACTCCCAATCATCCCGGCTGTCAAGAACAACCGGAGGTCCAATGTATCTCCCAAATGCCCAGCAGCATACATTCCCAAAGAGTAACATGCAAGAAATGCAACATCAATCTCTCCCAACTTCGACGTCCCGTCGGTTCCATTAAACGGAGCCCAACCTTTCTCTTTCAACCTATAATTCCCATTTCCTCCAAACTCTTCCTTAACAAAAACCCTGCCAAACAAGGGGTCCAAGCCTAAGCCTGTGCCTTTGTTGGGATCAGGATACAAAACACTTTTCACTATACTACTGGGTTTTCTTGAAGCATGGTAACATGCATAAGCTATGAAAGTAACAAGCAAAATCACATATCTATATGTAGAAAGACTCCAATCTTTGCCTCTAATGCTTCTAATAAGCAAAATCCCAGGTGGGATTTCTCTCCTTGTATCAGAACTATGAGACATCCTGTCAAAACCCCACAAAAAGCAAGAAAAAACCAAAACCAAAACCAAAGGGAACAAAAATTTCCTTTCACAAACCCTGCGCCACCACCTTCATATCACATTCATCTTTCAAATCCAAGAAAACCCACAATGCAAAATCGCAAATTTCATACTTCGAAATATCAGAACGAAGGTTCAGAGAGAGAAAACGTGATCTTATTGAATTGAAGAACCATGGTGAAAGCTATTAAGAGCCAAAATTTCACTGGTTTGCATCGACGAGAGGATCAGAGGGAAAGCGTACAGGACGGGGGACAGAGCATGAGCAAGAGGGAGTATACGTGGCGAAGCGTGAGTATTCGAACTCGTTCTACTGTGCTTTGGCGCCACGCTATTTACCATGTTGACAATTGTGCAACGTTGGATGATCGCTTATCGAATAGTGTGTGCGTAATCACGCATGCGTACAAAAACAAAACTGCAGATACAGAACGTCGCAGCAGAGTACGGCACTCTGCCAACTTCGTTGTTACAGACACACATATCGAAGAGTATGGGTTAAATTCGACCCAAAAAAAAAAAAAAAAAGAGTATGGGTGTTTTTTTAAAAAAAATTATTTAAAAAAAAACCCTTCAAATAGCAATTCAATTTTTTTGCATTTTTGTGTCAAAGATTGGAATGGGTAGGGGAAGTGTTTTGGAGTTTAAACTTAAGTCCATTGACGTGCACGCAAATGCTATTAACACTGAGCAATCCATATTATTCAAATCGTATAAACAAATCAGAAATGTTTTATCTCATTGACTCTTACACAAAGACGATTAATAAGAAAGGTAATGTTAGGCTTACCACATTTTTATACCAAATCTCTAATGGAGATGGAGCCCACTAATATAATGAGGACTCATCTCTATTGCAAAGGTGGTACACAACGTAATATAAAAATATGGTAAGCCTAGCATTTTTCTAATAAGAAATGATTAAAGAATCCATCAATTAGTCAAACTAGGCGCATGCGGGTCATTAAGGCAGAGAGACCTAATTGAAAACCAAACCAAAATAAACTCCAACAAATTGGCGAATTCTTTACTGAACTAAGCTTATGTACAAGGATACGATAGATAAAACCCTAAACCCTAATGGAAATACACCCATACTATGAGGATCAAATTTGGTCATTTTTACTGAACTAAGCTTATGTAAGCTGCTTTGTCAAACACAGATGATTTAATCATACAACATACACAAAAATAATCTAGAGCTCTTCTAATCACCCTAAATTCTGTAAGAAAATGCCTGCAAAGCTCAAAATCCGAATCGACTTTTCCAAATAGGAATTTGTCCACGGGGTGCTACGGAGGTGAAGATACAGGTATGCTTGACATTTTCTTTGGAACAAAAGAGCTCATAAGCTTCTGGTCCAAGTAATCGCAGTACCACGGCACAAGTAACTCTGAGACTGAGCCTCTTCCCTGGCACTATGCTCGTTCCAAAAAGTACTATATTCATGGGAGCTTAAAATTCCCTGTAAAACAGAGCGAGGTGCCAATCGGTGGAAAGAGAGAGCAGAATACTCGAGAGCGCCAGTTGATTGAATTCAACATTGATTTGCTGGAGCAATGTAATGCTTGGCCCGTGAGTCATCACAACATTTTGTCCTTGCCACTGTAATAGGTACCAAGTTTGGAGATGCAAGAGATTGTCATACCTTGTAACATTAATTGTGGTCATTTTGCTGTTGTTGAAGACTGCAGAACATAAAAATAAGACAGACACCAATAAAACACAGGTCCCTTTCCTTTGGGAAGGATATATAAATAAAAGTGCCACCTGTCAAGGTACAATACCACAATAAGGACCCTATCTATAATTGGAACTTTTTGTGTTGCTTAATTTTTTTTCCCAGGTCTTGTTCTTCCTATATGTTGCTAAAATCTACTCAAATGTTTTTTTTTTCTTTGGGTTACAATCCACACTATCAAGATACAAACAATTTAGAACCCTATAGAACCAGAAAAGCTTTACTGTTAAAAGAGTAAGCATGAAGATTGTAAACAAAGAGTTTCACCACTTACCATGAAGTTCATGGTGTGCAGAAATTTGAGAAAACTAACAATCACTAACACAGATGGCAGAACCAAATCTATGAAAATTAGAATACCAGCACATATAGTTTCAAATGAAGTTCATACAGTAAGCAAGGTTTTATTTTTATTTTTTGAAAGAAAGAAAAGCGATGACAGCAGTGATGCACCATCGTCTAGGTTAAAATTTTATTGTTAGATATAGCGGCAGTCCAGATTTAAGAAAACATCTTTAGTCTGGATTTACATAAACAAGTAGTAGAATGGTGAATATATCATAAAAATTTATGGAATCCACAAAAACTTGTTAAGATGTAGAAATTTTGAATGAAAATTAAGTACCCCAGAAACCACTGATGCATCCAAAAGAAAAAATTCTACTACTTGATGAGTCAAAAAAGAAAAGTTGTCCAATATATTTTGGTTTACAATTTAGAAATCTTTTAACCAGATCCTAATTTCATAATGACATGATTGTAATTAACTTTGAAGAAAATAGAAAAATACAAAAGAAAATTTTAACAACCTATAATCTACTGGTTACATCATCCCCACGAATATTATTACAACAACCCTGACTACAGGCTTATGTTCAAGTTATGATGATCTAACAGAAGATTTTAAAGGGTTTCCTTACCTTCTAAGCCTGAAACTCCATCCCCTTCTCAGAAGGCTTCCGTTTTCTTTTCAACCGTGTCGCACCAGCATCCTCTGTAAAAGAGACACATAAATATATGGGAGGAAAACACGAGACATATATTGTTGGATAAGAGCCAATTTATCCGATAAAACACGGGAGAAAAAAGAACAGTTAAAATCAAATTACAAGCTCAATGTGTAGTTAAATCATCACGAGAGCTTTATATGTTGGTTGACAGGATCACATTAGTAATCAAGGGTTTCAAACTCAAGATCAGAGTTTTGAACTCAGTGTTTTGCTTCTTTTTTTAAGCAACGCCAAAACCTCATAGATTAAGCTGACTAGTGGGGTTTGATTTAGTGATATTATTCAAAGGAGAAGGCCTAATTTTGGTTGTTACCTCATTTGCGTGTAATGTTGGTTGTTACCTCGTTTGTGTGTGATGAGAAAAACGGACGCAAGAATCTTGACCATCTATTATTTAAAGGTGAAACCCAAATGTTAGTGTTTGTTATCACCCTATTGGCATGTTAATTTTATGCCTGATAGACGCACTACTGGTTTAGCTTCATTGTACTGTTTCACATATTCATTAAAAAAATTGCTTTTTTTTTTTTTTACAGAAAAATAAAAGAAAAGAGTGAGTTGTGGGGTTGTGAATTTGAATTTAAGCCATTGAAAAAAACCAAACTCAAAAAACACAAATATGCATGCAATGCATAAGCTTACCTTCAAGTGGACTTGATGCATGATTATTTGTACGTCCATTTGGTCGGCCCTCTTCTGAAATAGGGGAGCCAGAATTATTGCTATCCACCAACTTCGATGAACTTTCTATGCACTTATCTTGCTGCTCAGGAACATCAGGATAAGGAATTGCAGGTAAAAAGCATAGCTCCTCCTGTGACATATCTGAATCACTGAAAGCTGAATCCTTCTCCACTGTCACAATATCAACTTCATCATCTTCATTAACATCAGATTCTTTCACCTGAAAAAATAATTTTATATTACACAACATAAATAAACAAAAAATCTGCCCAGATTTTAATTTCTTCTCACCTTTTCAGTTTCAGGGATCAGATCAAATTCATCTTCTCGTTCTACGTATTCCTCATTTTCCTCAAGCTCTTTGAAATCAGGAGCAAATGCACTCCAGTTCTCAGTGTAATCTTTGGCCCAGATATAAACCAAACCAGTCAGTGAAACAGAGACAACAATGGGGTGAACAGGATGCCATACTAAATCTATCAAGGCTTCCTTTGGCCCTTCCAGAATTTTCACAAGATGCCCAGCCCTATCCCATATGTAAATCTTGTGTTCTCCTTTGCTTGCAGAACCGCCAATCACCCACTCACCATCACCACTGAAACAAGGTGCTTTCCAATGCATCTTTGTGATGGCATCTTGGAACTCACGGAAAAGGGTTAAGCATTTCGATCCAACTGCTTTCAACTTCTCAACACTATCATCAATCCCATCATGGGTCACATTTAGGTCACCTAGGGCTTTAAGTCCATCTTTCGAGGGGAGAAGGTTCTCATAGATCCTGATTGTTCTATCGTTTGAATTTGTAAGCAGATACTGTCCATCCTCCAGAAACAGGAACCATGGCACGCACTTGGACACTTTTGTAATCTATTAAAAGTATTTCACCTTTCGAGTTCCCCGCATAAACCAGATCCCCATACTTATTAAAGCAAGCGGCAGTAGGAGAAAAAGGAGGAGTGCCATCAGAAATTTTGTTCCGTGACGAAGGGGCAAGTCCTGGGTTAACGTCAGGAATGGAAACTGGAAGAACAGTTGTGCTTCCTGCATTCAAGTCAACAATGATGGGAGCAGATGAGAGGGGGCATGCCAAGCAGAGAGATGGAGTAGAGGAACCAGGATGTAGCCGAGCTTGTAGAGGGGTTTGTTGGAGTATCGTTCTAGTGATTTTCTCACCACTGACAACATCCCATAGTGTCAACGACTTGTCAGCAGCAGACACGAGAATGCGATGGCCATACTTTGACCAACATACACTAGTTATGGCAGCAACACAGTCTTTATCACGAAGCTCCTTAGCAATACCCCTGGTCTCAAAATCCCATATGACGCAATTTCCATCAGAGCACCCAGCTGATCAAGAATATCAAAATGAAGCATCAGCACAGCAGAATAGTTGGAATATCTTCCGTAAAGATTTGAGTGCACCAAATGCCAAGAGGAATGTAATGAATGCAAAGAATAAATTTAATTTGAAGATTTCCTGAAATTACAGCCTACAAAATTTGACACTAAAAGGCATCAACACCTAAAGAAATTCTGGTTCCATAATGCATCCGCTTGATCCTTAAATTGGATAGCTAGCAATTCTACTTTGTCACAAATTGTGGATTCAACTCCTTATATTCGTTTCAAAAGTACAAATTGTGGACGAAGAAGAAGAAGTGAGCGGCGTATAAACTGACAATGGTGTTTCTCCACCCAATGTGCAACCAAAGTTACAGCCTTCTTCTTATTTATGAATAAGCCATTTCTTAAACAAAAAGGAACCCACAAACAGCAGGACAAAACTAAAAGAATACAAACAGAAAATCAGATTTTTTGAAATACCCACATTGCCACATTGCCCAAAGCACTTACATTCTAATGAAAAAAGTTTTAAAAAAAATACGAAGGGGATGCAGAAAGGTAGAAACTTTACCAGCAAGAAGGGTACCACGGCGATTAAAGGCGATGCATTTCATAACCCCATGCTCCAAATACTCCTCTATCACTTCTGGGAAATCTCCTTGCAATGGGTCTTCACAAAATACGAATTACAATTAATTAATTAATTACACACTTATTTTTTTACTTTGTTCCAAAACCCATTCAAGGAAAAAGAAAAAGAAAAGGCAAATCTTTCAATTAAAAGTGAACTCTGGAGAGCGAGAAAGAAAGAGAGGCTTACCGATTATCGAAGCGTTCATCGCCTTTATGAGTTTACACAACCAGGTCCTCCTCTGCCGGGTCAAGATGCCCTCCTCCGGTCGGGTCGGGTCGGTTGGAGATCTGGGACTTGGTGGAGATTTTGAAAGAAGAAGCGTGCAGTAGGATTAAGGAGTGCACCTTAATCAGGAGACAAGGCCGTCGACTGCAGGATGAGTAGGATGCGTTTGTTTTTGAAAGAGGAATGAGCGGCTGGATGGAGTTGGTTGATGAAATAATTTCAACCTAAAAAGTGGAAAGGATTTTGGTTGGATGGACAGTAAAACATTCAATTCCCAAAAATGCCCTTGGTAAAGAGTTCTCCAACCCATTTAGTCATAAATCCAAATTTTCTCCTTTAAAAAATGAGTAATGCTACATTTACCACATTATTATCTCATATTTCTATACCACATAATATAGCATATCTATATCATATGTTATATCAATTAAATTAATGAAGTGTATTTTAATAAAGAAAATTAGAAAAACAGAAACTAATATTTTACATGATGTGGTATGCACACATCAGCCGCCACATCATGTGGTATAAAAAATGTGGTAAGACTAGTATTATTCTTCAAAAAGTAATTATTTAGATTTCGCTCTGTACTTAAATTGTTTTTTCCCAACCCTCCAGACTCTGCAACTTTATTAAATTGTTTAAGAATAATATAAGTCTAATTTTTTTTTCATGGATAATTTTTCTTCATTTAATATTTTTGTTCACCCGTTTTGGATTTGTTCCTGTGATGGTAGCAGTGGCGGATCCAGGATTCAAAAGTCAAGTAGGCGAAACTTACTTTAAAAACTAGACGGTACGAGTGAATTTTATTCATAAAAATTAAAAGATACACCTAGTCAGGGGGGGCGTAATGAGCCTTACCCTCAAATATGCATATTTATACATAAATAAAAGCTTAACAAAAAAACAAGAAGTAAATGCAATGCAACACAAAACTAAACTATTTTAATCTAAAACTTTACCCTATGAGGCATAGAAATCTTAAATTCCTCAATTATCTCTTCATTATCGATATTATTAGCAAAACTCTTTCAATGTGGAGAATCATGCAATCAACAAGGAATTCATCAATTATGGTGCTCCGAACTCTATTCTTAATAATTCTTATACATGAAAAAGCTCATTCCGTTGTTACTGTAGAAACAGAAAGAGTTATCACCAACTGAATCAACCTGTAAAGCAAATGGTAGTTTTTTGCCAAAGTTGTTTCCACCAATTGTTGACAAAACTGAGGAAGAGTGGTGAGGTCCTTAAAGCAGGGAAGGCGATGCATATCATTTTGAAAATACCTCAACTCAATTTCTAAAGCTTTCAAATCACTTGAACTGAAGTCAGCATGATAGAATTTCTCAACAAGTTTACATAGATGCCCAATATTGAATAATTTGAAGGAATTACGAGGATCCAATGTTGAGTTAAGAATAAGAAGTTCAACTGTTTACTCTGGAAATCTGTCATTTAACTCCCTCAACATGCAATCTATCACATCATTAAATACATCAAAGTGATAGTAATGTTCAATTGTAATAAAATCTTTTTGTTGACAAGAATGACGTGTGCCCATCATATAACGAGCACTTATATCAGGAACATCAATGCCATGTTGTTCACAAAATGATACCACACTCATGAATAAATCATCCCAGCCATGTACCCTCATATCTTGGAACTGTGATTTTGTGTTTTCAACAAAGTTTAAAGCACTTACAATATCTTAAGCTTTTCTCTGAAACACTTGACAAAGAAAGTTGGTCAATCCCATAATTTTATCCATCAAAGGCAATGCAAACACAAACTCAAAAGACATCATAGCAATATAATTACTTTCTGCATCGCCACGAAATTGTTGATTAGGTCCATAATCACTGATTTCCTGAAGAAGTATTTTAGTCTCTTTAAACAAACTCATTAAACTTGTAATAAAAGCATAGTGAGATCCCCAACGAGTGGCTCTAGCTCGTTTCAAACTACGACCTTGATTAAGTCCTCTACCTGTCTCAAGTTCCCTAGAATCCAACAACTCTTTGTGTTCGGCTTTTCGAATTAGATTTAACTCATTACGGCGCTTAGCAGAAGCACTAACAAAATTCACAATGTTAGTCAACATTGAAAAAAATCTCCATACAACCTTCACATCTTTAGCCGCACCATTTAACGCTAATTGCAAGCGATGAGCAAAGCAATGCACATAATATGCATATGGACAATCTTGAAGAAACAATGCTTGTAATCCATTCCATGAACCACGCATATTACTAGCACCATTATACCATTGGCCACACATGTTTTTCACTAGAATGCCGTTATTATCAAGCACTTTGCATATTTCTTGTTTAAGAGTTAAGGCATTAGTGTCTACAACACTCACAATATCGAAAAAGCGTTCACGAATAAATCCATCACAATCAACAAATCTTAGAATAATAGCCATTTGTTCCTTACCTAATTCATCAAGTGATTTATCAACAAGAATACAATATTTGTTCTTCCCAAGTTCGCTACAAATTTTCTTCTTCACCTTGGTAGCAAAAATATGCTAGATCTGTTTTTGTATGTCATGAGCAATATACTGAGCATTATGAGGAGCATTATTTAGGACAACCTTCTCAACTTCTATATTCATTCTTGCAAAAGACTTTAAGATTTCAATGAAATTTCCCCAGTTAGATGAGTCAACGGATTCATCGTGACCTCGAAAAGCCATTGCTTGATTTACTAGATACCTAATGCCCTCTATTGTAGTTGTAAGTCGCAACCGATTGTCCATCACTTGTTGCTTTGATTGCTTATCTACCACTGTTTCAATATGAAGAGATGAGTTTTTTAAGCTAACCCATTTTTGCATAGCAAGATGATGTGGTGAATTTAGCTTGCCTACATGACGTTGAAATACACATTGATTGCCACCAATTCTCTTCCAATTTTGAAATCCATGAATAGTAAAGGTTGCATGTGAGTGATTCATGTCAAATAGGAAGCAAGGAAAACAAAATGTCATATCTTTAGTAATTGAATACTCAAGCCAAGAGAATTTACTAAACCACGTTTTATTAAATCGACGTAAGTCTCGCCCTTCTAAATGGCTTGGATAATCTTCTAACTCCGGTTGACATGGTCCTAAAATAATATATCATTTTCGCACATTATCTTGTTCATTCACCGAATATTGGCATATTTGAAGATGTAATCCTAGATCACGCTCAAGATAATTGATATCAAACAAATTCTCATAATAGCATCAATGTCTTTAATCAAACAATAACATACTAACAACATATCAAACTTCTCAATAATACCAACCATCAAATCAAACATCTCAACAAAGAGGAGGCAATACTTAATTTCATAGACCTAATTAATTTGAACAAAATCCCCAAATTATAATTAATTTATAATTAAACCCTAGAATACTCAATTTCAAATTAAAATTAAAATTAAAATGCATACATCATACATGTAGTTTAGGAAAACCCCAAAAAGAGCAATAATTAAATAGGAGAGAATGAGAAATACTTGTTGCCAAGAAAAGAGAAGAAGCTGCTAAGAAGATCTTGCTGCTAAGGAGAGAAGAGTAAGGACCGTTAGGTTGCAGCCAGCCAATTTGTTCAAGGGGAAAAGAAGTGGGGAACGTCACTTGATAGCAATAGGGTTTGTTGTGCTCCTTTGTTTTTTTTCATGTATAATATAAGTGGGCATGGCCCATGAGGTAGGGGAATGTCGGCTGGAGCAGAGGAGCTGATATTGCTTTTGGGCTGGGCTTTTGTTTTTGTTGAGTAGGCAGAAGATATTTTATAGTATCAAGTATTGGGTAATTTTTTATTTGGTCAAAAGTTGAGTAGACGGGCTTTTGTTTTTGTTGAGTAGGTAGAAGATATTTTATGGTATTAAGTATTGGGTAATTTTTTATTTGGCCAAAAGTTGAGTAGGCAAGTGCCTACCCTGCCCTTAGGGTAGGACCGCCCCTGGATGGTATGATAAAGTTCCCCATTATCTTGAAAACCATTGACTGATCAACAAATCAACTTTTTTTGGTATGCGAGCATGCCACTGCTAGCAATGAAAATCCTAGCAGACTTCTTAAAAATAGATAACTTGCGCCCCAAGTTACTGATTTCTAAACAAACGATTGTGAATTTGGGTGAGGAATATCTCCCAAGTAAGTTCTTTTCTTGCCTCAGGCTAGTGAGGACTTCACAATTTTTTACAGTACAAAACTAGTAGTTCTAGCCAGAACAAATGATAGGAAAATGAACTGTTTTGGGCAGAACTGCCTTTTACAAAGCTCAAAAAGGAAGACCAACTCTAAAAAAGACAAAAAGAGCTTCTGGACTTCAATTTCTACCTGGATAAATGCTTCTGATCCGGGCTGGATTGGACATTTCTGTGCTGGACTGGATTGTCAACACCTTCAATTGTCAAGTTTCAGCTGTAAATCGATACCAACATTCGAGTTTGGCATAGCTTTAATCTATTTCAAGCCCTGGAAGGCTTTTTGAACTGGCAGAATTGGGATCTTTTCAGTTTGGAAAGGGCATAAGTGGCCAGACTTGATGATTACTGAGCTGGAACTGCACTGTAGTACCTGTTCTGCTTAATCAAGGCTCTTCATCAATTTGTTGAGGTTTTCATATTTGTAAAACTCGAACTCTGCTTGACTTGGCTTATGCTGAACCAAATTTGTAACGAGAGAGATCTCGCTTTGAATGACTGTTTCTCTGAAACAGAATTGAAGTTTAGAGATTCTGGGTTATAGCTGACTTGTTTCTTGTGGCTCAATGAGCTTTTGGTTACTTCAATGTTTTGAAGGTTTTTGAGATCAAATGATTATTTTGAGTTTTTGTTTTTTGATTTATTTTTTGGCTGCCTCTTGATCTGTTCAACTTCTCTCATATTTATAGGAAATGCAGGAGTGAGATTTTTTAATCTTTAAAATGGGCAGCAGATTTTCTTAAAAACAAGATCTTTTATTTTTTTAAAGTCAAAGAAAAAGGGAAGTTATCTATTCTGGCAAATAAACCATCAACAGTCAGTTCTAAGGCAATCACTTCCTTGCTTTTCTTGAAAGAAAACCTTATCCTTCTTCATTTTTTTTAACTGCTCTTTGTAAGAGTACAATCTGCCGTGATGGTTAGTTTGATCTTCCAGATTAACAACTCTCTGCTTCCTACTTATCTTT